CACTGAGCACATGTGAGTACTGATGGTGCTAACGCTAACACAGGTCTCCACTGAGCACATGTGAGTACTGATGGTGCTAACGCTAACGCTAACACAGGTCTCCACTGAGCACATGTGAGTACTGATGGTGCTAACGCTAACGCAGGTCTCCACTGAGCACATGTGAGTACTGATGGTGCTAACGCTAACGCTAACACAGGTCTCCACTGAGCACATGTGAGTACTGATGGTGCTAACGCTAACACAGGTCTCCACTGAGCACATGTGAGTACTGATGGTGCTAATGCTAACACACACACAGGTCTCTACTGAGCACATGTGAGTACTGATGGTGCTAACGCTAACACAGGTCTCCACTGAGCACATGTGAATACTGATGGTGCTAACGCTAACACAGGTCTCCACTGAGCACATGTGAGTACTGATGGTGCTAACGCTAACACAGGTCTCCACTGAGCACATGTGAGTACTGATGGTGCTAACGCTAACACAGGTCTCCACTGAGCACATGTGAGTACTGATGGTGCTAACGCTAACGCTAACACAGGTCTCCACTGAGCACATGTGAATACTGATGGTGCTAACGCTAACGCTAACACAGGTCTCCACCGAGCACATGTGAGTACAGATGGTGCTAACGCTAACACAGGTCTCCACCGAGCACATGTGAGTACTGATGGTGCTAACGCTAACGCTAACACAGGTCTCCACTGAGCACATGTGAGTACTGATGGTGCTAACGCTAACACAGGTCTCCACTGAGCACATGTGAATACTGATGGTGCTAACGCTAACACAGGTCTCCACTGAGCACATGTGAGTACTGATGGTGCTAACGCTAACACAGGTCTCCACTGAGCACATGTGAGTACTGATGGTGCTAACGCTAACGCTAACACAGGTCTCCACTGAGCACATGTGAGTACTGATGGTGCTAACGCTAACACAGGTCTCCACTGAGCACATGTGAATACTGATGGTGCTAACGCTAACACAGGTCTCCACTGAGCACATGTGAGTACTGATGGTGCTAACGCTAACACAGGTCTCCACTGAGCACATGTGAGTACTGATGGTGCTAACGCTAACGCTAACACAGGTCTCCACTGAGCACATGTGAGTACTGATGGTGCTAACGCTAACAGACACACAGGTCTCCACTGAGCACATGTGAGTACTGATGGTGCTAACGCTAACGCTAACACAGGTCTCCACTGAGCACATGTGAGTACTGATGGTGCTAACGCTAACACAGGTCTCCACCGAGCACATGTGAGTACTGATGGTGCTAACGCTAACGCTAACACAGGTCTCCACCGAGCACATGTGAGTACTGATGGTGCTAACGCTAACACAGGTCTCCACCGAGCACATGTAAGTACTGATGGTGCTAACGCTAAAACAGGTCTCCACTGAGCACATGTGAGTACTGATGGTGCTAACGCTAACACAGGTCTCCACTGAGCACATGTGAGTACTGATGGTGCTAACGCTAACACAGGTCTCCACCGAGCACATGTGAGTACTGATGGTGCTAACGCTAACACAGGTCTCCACTGAGCACATGTGAGTACTGATGGTGCTAACGCTAACAGACACACAGGTCTCCACTGAGCACATGTGAGTACTGATGGTGCTAACGCTAACACAGGTCTCCACCGAGCACATGTGAGTACTGATGGTGCTAACGCTAACGCTAACACAGGTCTCCACCGAGCACATGTGAGTACTGATGGTGCTAACGCTAACACAGGTCTCCACCGAGCACATGTAAGTACTGATGGTGCTAACGCTAACGCTAACACAGGTCTCCACCGAGCACATGTGAGTACTGATGGTGCTAACGCTAACACAGGTCTCCACTGAGCACATGTGAGTACTGATGGTGCTAACGCTAACGCTAACACAGGTCTCCACCGAGCACATGTGAGTACTGATGGTGCTAACGCTAACACAGGTCTCCACCGAGCACATGTGAGTACTGATGGTGCTAACGCTAACACAGGTCTCCACTGAGCACATGTGAGTACTGATGGTGCTAACGCTAACACAGGTCTCCACTGAGCACATGTGAGTACTGATGGTGCTAACGCTAACGCTAACACAGGTCTCCACCGAGCACATGTGAGTACTGATGGTGCTAACGCTAACGCTAACACAGGTCTCCACCGAGCACATGTGAGTACTGATGGTGCTAACGCTAACACAGGTCTCCACTGAGCACATGTGAGTACTGATGGTGCTAACGCTAACGCAGGCCGTGACGCGGCGGCGCCTGGTTTTGCGGCGCGTTTATCGGGGCCTTACAGACTCGTGAGGACGCGGAGAGTCAGACCTTACAGTGCGGCCCCGTTCTCAGACTGAGCTGTGGCGCTGTCTCAGATCTGTCTGAGCAGCTGACGAGAGCGGCCGCTGTACTGAAGTCGGGCTCTGACTCTTCCTCGCTGCTGACGCTGCTCTGACACAGTGTGTGACGCTGCTCTCTCTGTTCTCCCCCAGAGAGCTGAAGGACAGTCTGAGCACCGATGAGTTGGAGGGAGATGTTCCGGTTCTGCTGCAGCTGCTGCTCTCCAGGAACCCCAGCATCTTCAGGGCGAAGAGCGCGCCGCCCGCCCCCCAGTACGGCACGCAGACCGGTGAGACTGCAGACCTGCTCCTCCTGAGCTTCTTCCAGAATAAAGGGTGTTAACAGGGAGCCTGTGCTGCAGTAACAGCCTCTACTCTTCTGAGGCTTCTAGGTGTTGAACATTGCTGTGAGGATTTGATTGAGCATTAGTGAGGTCAGGTGCTGATGTTGGATGGTCAGCTCTGGATCTCCAGCTCATCCCAAAGGTGCTGGATTGAGCTCCATCACTCCAGAGAACCCATTAGGAGAGTTTAGCGTAGAGCTGAGTGTGGTGACTGTGGTTATGGTGATATATTGTGTCACACTGTGCTTTTCTGACCATCAGCACTTTAAAACACTTCCCAACTGCAAGTTTGGCTACAAACAGAGCCTAATTGGTCCTGTTTGGCTGGGTTTGGTGCAGCACAGTGTGTGAAATATAACCTGTTTGGTTGACTTTCCGTTTGTGTTTTATCAGGTTTAGCGCAGCAGCAGATGGCGCCACCCTTCAAGGTGACCCATAATGCCATGCAGGGCAGTCCGGCCTCCAACAACTACCAGCAGGGCTCGGTGACCCACAGCCCGTCAGGGTGAGGACCCGTCTGTCTGTGCTGATCAGGACCCCCTGAGCTCAGCGGTCCGCTGACTCTGTGTGTGTGTGTGTGTGTGTCGTAGGCGGTTTGTCACAGGTCAGACGGGGTCCGGTGGCCGTTTCCTCCCTCAGCAGACGAGTCCGGTGCCGAGCCCTTACACGCCTCAGAGCCCCGTCACCGCGTACAGGCAGTACCCCCACCCCCCCACCTACAGCCAGCCTCAACACCTGCAGCAAGGTACGCACCGAACACCACGTTCCTGTAAAATTAGAGCTCCTCCCCGACTCCAGCGGCGCTCAGAGATGCGAGGAGCGCCAGTGTTTCATCTGTGTTTCGGATTATTTAATCCCACACTGATCAGCGAGGATGTACCGATCGTTCACTTAAGGCTCTGTTTCTTCTGGTTTTACCGTACGGTTTTTTAACCGTGTATTATTTTGTAATCTGAAGTTCACACTCTGGGCTGAACGAGCGCTCTAACTTTCTATCAGCCGAAGTCACAGTATAAATAACATCGCTTACTCTGTAACGAGCCACACTGGCGTTTAAACTCATGACAAACCAGGTTCCTGATAATTGGCATGACCTGCCTCGCCTTACTTACCTCATTAACCTGCAGCCCTGATCACTCACACTGAGCGACTGACACACGTCATTAAAACCCCTGATTGTGGTGGAGCCTATCAGCCGAGACGCGTTCGGTGTCTGAAGTTTGATTCTTTAGCTGTAACTCTCAGATCTGCTCACATTTTGCGTAACAGGTTCGCGTTTTGACATCGAAGTCCGCTGGTATGATTTGTCGCTCCAAACTGCACAAAAAGCTGGAGACACCTGTCGGTTCAGTTGTGCACATGCAGCACTCAAATCTGACCGCAGCGTCCAGCCTTCTGATAAACCAAAGAAGAAGAGTTCAACCGGTCATAGCGCTGGGTTCGTCCCCCAGATGTCGTCATGCTAAGGGCTGCGGTGTGAAACGTGAACTAAGCTTTACGTTTTTTTAAACGTTTTTCTGCGCAGAATGTTTTCCCAACGTCGGCAGGTCCGAGCTCTGGAGCTACGAGGCTGACACAGCTAACGGATAACGTGAGGGTTTAGCCGCATCTGTGGAAACGACGAGGTCACGTTAATCTGAAGGTTTAAAGGAGCTTTTAGTCCAGAAATAAGAGTCCTCTCTGCGCACACCGGTCAGCAGCTCAGACAGCCGAGAGTCTCTGTTTTCCTCTGTTTTACTCCCCCCATCTCGCCTTTTCTCCAGGTTCTGTAGCAAGTCCCATGATTCCTGGCGGTGTGAGGAATCCGCTGGACAGTAAGGTACTGACCGTCTTCTTGTTTATTACTTTTAATAGTAGCAGCAGCAAAAACAGCATCAAATAAAAGAATTACACCCACTTATTAATGCAAAACAGGAACAAATAATAACAACATTACCGTGCAGAAAAATGGTGTTCTGAAAGCGCTTGTGCATCAAAGCTGAGTACAAAAGAGCAGATTTGACACTTTAATGATGTACAAACTGCTCTGAGTCTGATTTGTGAAACATTCGTACGACGTGGAAACGAGAGGGGAATCAGCTGCAGCGTGTGAGGTCACCAGCGCCTCATTTACATATCGTTTACATGAGACGCCCTAATTCATGCAGATGTTTCGGTAGGGAGCCAATAAAATGACAGCATTCAGCAGCTTGCGAACCAATGACAGTGCTCGTGGGCGGAGTTTGAGGTGGGGAGGTGAGTGCACTGCTCCTCCTACTGACCAAACTGTGTAGTGTTTAAATTACAACCGCTGGAAAGAATAAGATGTGAGAGAATAAATCGTCCGTGTTTTTAAGAGGGTGGAACGATGTGACCGTGATGGTGTTTGTAAAATATCATATTTAAACACTGTGGCACTCCAGTGTCTGACACTTGCTCTGTTCTGTGTCCTTTATTTTGTGGGCGGAGTCAGTAGGATAGAAAAGGAGCAGTGTAATTTAAAATAGAATAGTTGCAGCATTCGTTTACACCAGCGCGCTTGTGAAATACGTTCTGAACGGGCCATGCGCCCAGAACGTTAGTGTTAGTCTCGGTTTCTGTTTTTCTTCTTGTTACTGATGTTGTGGATGCTGTTGATCATAGTTCAGGTTAACCGCAGATCAAACAATTAGTCTGGTTATTAAAACATTCATGTTCAGATTTCCACACACTCGTTCCAGACGGGAGTTTAATCGCACAGATGCTCCAAAGATGAGGTTAATGAATAGCAGAACTGTGTGTGAAATTTGACGTTCAGGTGTGATTGTATGCAGCTTTGATGTATAAGGGTCGCCGGGTCGATTGTGGGCCGAGGGTCTAAACCCGTTTATTTTTAAGTGTCTGCTTTGGTCTGTAGAGTGAATGTTAAACTCTCTCCATCAGGACGTGATGAGGAGTTTTTCAGGAGCTCCGCCCCTGCTGCAGTCGTCTCCGCCCTACACGCCCCCTCAGGAGGCGGAGCTCCTGCTGGGCTCGGTGGAGAAGGGGCGGGGTCTGAATGGCGGTGATGGAGAGAAGGGGGGTGTGTATGATATGGTGGGTTCCCCGGGTGAGGATGGTGGTAAGGGGCGGGAGGCGCGGTCGCGGGCGGCGGTGGAGGCGGAGCTGGGCGGAGTTTTCACGGGCTCCGACCCCGAGGGGGAGCTGGTGGAGGCCCTAGCCGCCATCGAGAGAATGGAGAGTGAGGCGGCCATGGAAACCGACCGCACTGCTAAAGAGGTGCAGGACAAAGGTCAGTGATTTTTGGGCAAATTGTAACACTTGATTTTGGTTTTCAGTCATAAAAATCTCAGTGTCTTTTGTGTTGCATGTCTTCTTCAGTGATGTTTGTGTATTAATTGTAATTATGAAAATAATTTTGCAATAAAAAACCAAGCAGTTAGGTTTTCTGGTGCATCTCTCTGTAGATAAGCCCCTGAAGAAGCGGAAGCAGGACTCCCACCCCCAGGAGCCCGGCGCAGGGGGTTGTGGGGGCGTTGCTCTGGGTAATCGACTAGTCCTTGCAGAGGGCGGCGCCGTGGGCGGGGCTGAAGATGGCTGTGGGTCACGCCACTGGCCACAGGAGCCTCAGGAGGGCGTGACACCCAAACCGCTCCAGCGTGGCAGTCGCCATGATGACAGGCAAGCAGACGCCCCACGGCAGAAGCGCAGGCCTGAGGGTCGCCATGATGACGGGGACGACAGCAAACCCGGCGAGCTTCCTGCTTACGGGCTCGGGGAGAACTCTGGCTTTAAGGAGCCAGAGGGGGCGGGGCCAGGGGAAGCGGTGGGCTTGTCCCTGGGCTGGAAGCAACCGCGTGTATGTCTGGAGCGGCTGGAGGCGGAGCCTGAGACGAAGAAGAGCGTGAAACCCGTGGTGGTCCTGCAGAAACTATCTCGGGACGAGGTGGAGCGGCTGATCAGGGAGAGGGAGTCCCGCGCCAAAGCAGCCAAAAACAGACTGACCGCTGGGAGATACGGAAAAGGTAGGAAAACCAGAACAACTGATTAGACCCCTGACCAACATAGACAGACTGACCGGAACAGCTCAGACTGGTCAGTGTAGACAGGCTGATCAGAACAGCTCAGACTGATCAGTGTAGACAGACAGACCAGAACAGCTCAGACTGATCAGTGTAGACAGACAGACCAGAACAGCTCAGACTGATCAGTGTAGACAGACTGACCAGAACAGCTCAGACTGATCAGTGTAGACAGACTGACCGGAACAGCTCAGACTGATCAGTGTAGACAGACAGACCGGAACAGCTCAGACTGGTCAGTGTAGACAGACTGACCGGAACAGCTCAGACTGGTCAGTGTAGACAGACTGACCGGAACAGCTCAGACTGATCAGTGTAGACAGACTGACCGGAACAGCTCAGACTGATCAGTGTAGACAGACTGACCGGAACAGCTCAGACTGGTCAGTGTAGACAGACTGACCGGAACAGCTCAGACTGATCAGTGTAGACAGACTGACCGGAACAGCTCAGACTGATCAGTGTAGACAGACTGACCAGAACAGCTCAGGCTGATCAGAGTAGACAGACTGACCAGAACAGCTCAGACTGATCAGAGTAGACAGACTGACCAGAACAGCTCAGACTGATCAGTGTAGACAGACTGACCAGAACAGCTCAGACTGATCAGTGTAGACAGACTGACCAGAACAGCTCAGGCTGATCTGAGTAGCTCAGACTGATCAGCGGGGACAGGGTTTATTAGCTGTTTCAGGGTTATGCACTGATGCTAAGTGTGTGTGTGTGTGTGTGTGTGTTTAGTGTGTGTGTGTGTGTGTTTAGTGTGTGTGTGTGTGTGTGTGTGTTCAGTGTGTGTGTGTGTGTGTGTGTGTTCAGTGTGTGTGTGTGTTCATTCGGTTAGTGCTGAGGGTTAGTGTGTGTGTGTGTGTTTAGAGTGTTTAGTGTGTGTTCAGTGTGTGTGTGTGTGTGTGTGTGTGTGTGTGTGTGTGTTTAGTGTGTGTGTGTGTGTGTGTGTGTTCAGTGTGTGTGTGTGTGTGTGTGTGTTTAGTGTGTGTGTGTGTGTGTGTGTGTTCAGTGTGTGTGTGTGTGTTTAGTGTGTGTGTGTGTGTTTAGTGTGTGTGTGTGTGTGTGTGTGTTCAGTGTGTTCAGTGTGTGTGTGTGTTCATTCGGTTAGTGCTGAGGGTTAGTGTGTGTGTGTGTGTTTAGAGTGTTTAGTGTGTGTTCTGTGTGTGTTTAGTGTGTGTGTGTGTGTGTGTGTTTAGTGTGTGTGTTTAGTGTGTGTGTGTGTTTAGAGTGTTTAGTGTGTGTTCAGTGTGTGTGTGTGTGTGTGTGTGTGTGTGTGTGTGTGTGTGTGTGTGTAGTGTGTGTGTGTGTTGGGTGTTTAGTGTGTGTTCAGTGTGTGTGTGTGTGTGTTTAGTGTGTGTGTGTGTTTAGAGTGTTTAGTGTGTGTTCAGTGTGTGTGTGTGTGTGTTTAGTGTGTGTTTAGTGTGTGTTCTGTGTGTGTGTGTTCAGTGTGTGTGTGTGTGTGTGTGTGTGTGTTCAGTGTGTGTGTGTTTAGTGTGTGTTCAGTGTGTGTGTGTGTGTGTGTGTGTGTGTGTTCAGTGTGTGTGTTGTGTGTGTGTGTGTGTGTTTTCAGTGTGTGTTTGTGTTCATTCGGTTAGTGCTGAGGGTTAGTGTGTGTTGGGTGTTTAGTGTGTGTTCAGTGTGTGTGTGTGTGTGTTTAGTGTGTGTGTGTGTTTAGAGTGTTTAGTGTGTGTTCAGTGTGTGTGTGTGCGTGTGTGTTTAGTGTGTGTTCTGTGTGTGTGTTCAGTGTGTGTGTTCAGTGTGTGTGTTCAGTGTGTGTGTGTTCAGTGTGTGTGTGTGTGTTCAGTGTGTGTGTGTGTGTGTGTGTGAGTGTGTGTGTGTTCAGTGTGTGTGTGTGTGTTCAGTGTGTGTGTGTGTGTTCAGTGTGTGTGTGTGTGTGTGTGTGAGTGTGTGTGTGTGTGTGTGTGTGAGTGTGTGTGTGTGTTCAGTGTGTGTGTGTGTGAGTGTGTGTGTGTTCAGTGTGTGTGTGTGAGTGTGTGAGTGTGTGTGTGTGTGTGTTCAGTGTGTGTGTGTGAGTGTGTGTGTGTGTGTGTGTTCAGTGTGTGTGTGTGAGTGTGTGTGTGTGTGTGTGTTCAGTGTGTGTGTGTGTGAGTGTGTGTGTGTGTTCAGTGTGTGTGTGTGTGTGTGTGTGTGTGTGTGTGTTCAGTGTGTGTGTGTGAGTGTGTGTGTGTGTGTGTTCAGTGTGTGTGTGTGTGTGTGTTCAGTGTGTGTGTGTGTGTGTGTGTGTGTGTGTGTTCAGTGTGTGTGTGTGAGTGTGTGTGTGTGTGTGTTCAGTGTGTGTGTGTGTGTGTGTTCAGTGTGTGTGTGTGAGTGTGTGTGTTCAGTGTGTGTGTGTGTGCATAACAGAAGCTGTAGGCGTTTTCCATCCTCGTTATAGATGCTGATGATAGCTGTACTGTAGCTGAGTTGCGTTGTAGTGTAACTGTAGTGTTATTGTATTGTAGCTGTACTGTAGCTGTGTTGTGTTGTAGTGTAACTGTAGTGTTATTGTATTGTAGCTATACTGTAGCTGTGTTGTAGTGTAACTGTAGTGTTATTGTATTGTAGCTGCACTGTAGCTGAGTTGCGTTGTAGTGTAACTGTAGTGTTATTGTATTGTAGCTGTACTGTACCTGTATTGTGTGTTGTAGTGTAACTGTAGTGTTATTGTATTGTAGCTATACTGTAGCTGTGTTGTAGTGTAACTGTAGTGTTATTGTATTGTAGCTGCACTGTAGCTGAGTTGCGTTGTAGTGTAACTGTAGTGTTATTGTATTGTAGCTGTACTGTAGCTGTGTTGTGTTGTAGTGTAACTGTAGTGTTATTGTATTGTAGCTATACTGTAGCTGAGTTGCGTTGTAGTGTAACTGTAGTGTTATTGTATTGTAGCTGTACTGTAGCTGTGTCGCGTTGTAGTGTAACTGTAGTGTTATTGTATTGTAGCTGTACTGTAGCTGTATTGTGTGTTGTAGTGTTACTGTAGTGTTATTGTATTGTAGCTGTACTGTAGCTGAGTTGCGTTGTAGTGTAACTGTAGTGTTATTGTACTGTAGCTGTACTGTAGCTGTGTTGTGTGTTGTAGTGTAACTGTAGTGTTATTGTATTGTAGCTGTACTGTAGCTGTGTTGCGTTGTAGTGTAACTGTAGTGTTATTGTATTGTAGCTGTACTGTAGCTGAGTTGCGTTGTAGTGTAACTGTAGTGTTATTGTATTGTAGCTGTACTGTAGCTGAGTTGCGTTGTAGTGTAACTGTAGTGTTATTGTATTGTAGCTGTACTGTAGCTGTATTGTGTGTTGTAGTGTTACTGTAGTGTTATTGTACTGTAGCTGTACTGTAGCTGTATTGTGTGTTGTAGTGTAACTGTAGTGTTATTGTACTGTAGCTGAGTTGCGTTGTAGTGTAACTGTAGTGTTATTGTACTGTAGCTGTGTTGCATTATAGTGTAACTGTAGTGTTATTGTATTGTAGCTGTACTGTAGCTGAGTTGCGTTGTAGTGTAACTGTAGTGTTATTGTATTGTAGCTGTACTGTAGCTGTGTTGTGTTGTAGTGTAACTGTAGTGTTATTGTATTGTAGCTGTACTGTAGCTGAGTTGCGTTGTAGTGTAACTGTAGTGTTATTGTATTGTAGCTGTACTGTAGCTGTGTTGTGTTGTAGTGTAACTGTAGTGTTATTGTATTGTAGCTGTACTGTAGCTGTATTGTGTGTTGTAGTGTAACTGTAGTGTTATTGTATTGTAGCTGTACTGTAGCTGTATTGTGTGTTGTAGTGTTACTGTAGTGTTATTGTACTGTAGCTGAGTTGCGTTATAGTGTAACTGTAGTGTTATTGTATTGTAGCTGTACTGTAGCTGTATTGTGTGTTGTAGTGTAACTGTAGTGTTATTGTATTGTAGCTGTACTGTAGCTGAGTTGCGTTGTAGTGTAACTGTAGTGTTATTGTATTGTAGCTGTACTGTAGCTGTGTTGTGTTGTAGTGTAACTGTAGTGTTATTGTACTGTAGCTGTACTGTAGCTGTGTTGCATTGTAGTGTAACTGTAGTGTTATTGTATTGTAGCTGTACTGTAGCTGTATTGTGTGTTGTAGTGTTACTGTAGTGTTATTGTACTGTAGCTGAGTTGCGTTGTAGTGTAACTGTAGTGTTATTGTACTGTAGCTGAGTTGCGTTGTAGTGTAACTGTAGTGTTATTGTATTGTAGCTGTACTGTAGCTGAGTTGCGTTGTAGTGTAACTGTAGTGTTATTGTATTGTAGCTGTACTGTAGCTGAGTTGCGTTGTAGTGTAACTGTAGTGTTATTGTACTGTAGCTGTACTGTAGCTGTATTGTGTGTTGTAGTGTAACTGTAGTGTTATTGTACTGTAGCTGTACTGTAGCTGTATTGTGTTGTAGTGTAACTGTAGTGTTATTGTACTGTAGCTGAGTTGCGTTGTAGTGTAACTGTAGTGTTATTGTACTGTAGCTGTACTGTAGCTGTATTGTGTGTTGTAGTGTAACTGTAGTGTTATTGTACTGTAGCTGTACTGTAGCTGTATTGTGTGTTGTAGTGTAACTGTAGTGTTATTGTACTGTAGCTGAGTTGCGTTGTAGTGTAACTGTAGTGTTATTGTACTGTAGCTGTGTTGCGTTATAGTGTAACTGTAGTGTTATTGTACTGTAGCTGTATTGAAGCTGTGTTGTGTGTTGTAGTGTAACTGTAGTGTTATTGTACTGTAGCTGTACTGTAGCTGAGTTGCGTTGTAGTGTAACTGTAGTGTTATTGTACTGTAGCTGTATTGAAGCTGTGTTGTGTGTTGTAGTGTAACTGTAGTGTTATTGTACTGTAGCTGTACTGTAGCTGTATTGTGTGTTGTAGTGTAACTGTAGTGTTATTGTACTGTAGCTGAGTTGCGTTGTAGTGTAACTGTAGTGTTATTGTATTGTAGCTATACTGTAGCTGTGTTGTGTTGTAGTGTAACTGTAGTGTTATTGTATTGTAGCTGTACTGTAGCTGTGTTGCGTTGTAGTGTAACTGTAGTGTTATTGTATTGTAGCTGTACTGTAGCTGTGTTGTGTTGTAGTGTAACTGTAGTGTTATTGTATTGTAGCTATACTGTAGCTGTGTTGTAGTGTAACTGTAGTGTTATTGTATTGTAGCTGCACTGTAGCTGAGTTGCGTTGTAGTGTAACTGTAGTGTTATTGTATTGTAGCTGTACTGTAGCTGTATTGTGTGTTGTAGTGTAACTGTAGTGTTATTGTATTGTAGCTATACTGTAGCTGTGTTGTAGTGTAACTGTAGTGTTATTGTATTGTAGCTGCACTGTAGCTGAGTTGCGTTGTAGTGTAACTGTAGTGTTATTGTATTGTAGCTGTACTGTAGCTGTGTTGTGTTGTAGTGTAACTGTAGTGTTATTGTATTGTAGCTGTACTGTAGCTGTGTCGCGTTGTAGTGTAACTGTAGTGTTATTGTATTGTAGCTGTACTGTAGCTGTGTTGTGTTGTAGTGTAACTGTAGTGTTATTGTATTGTAGCTGTACTGTAGCTGTGTTGTGTTGTAGTGTAACTGTAGTGTTATTGTATTGTAGCTGTACTGTAGCTGTGTCGCGTTGTAGTGTAACTGTAGTGTTATTGTATTGTAGCTGTACTGTAGCTGTATTGTGTGTTGTAGTGTTACTGTAGTGTTATTGTATTGTAGCTGTACTGTAGTTGAGTTGCGTTGTAGTGTAACTGTAGTGTTATTGTACTGTAGCTGTACTGTAGCTGAGTTGTGTGTTGTAGTGTAACTGTA